TTTCGAATCTCTTAATCGCACAATTTCACTCGAAATGGAAGTAAGCTCAACACTGGTAAGCCAAGATATAATTCGAAAACAAACTTTTCTTCTCAAAAGGAGATGCAAGCCGATGCAAATTGGCCACGCAATGATGCCTGGCCACATGGTCATCTTATCTTTTCTGCTGATGAAATATAACTCCGATTTGGACTGGAGGAATCCGCGCTTTACTTCCGTCCATCATGTGACTAGCTTTTCTTGAGCAAAGTACCATAGTCCACAAAAAACGCATCATTATAATAAAAGAAGATCAAAGCAAAACACAATATTAAATCATATTTAATCATCTGAATGTTTAAATATAGTTTCATGAGTCTGATGATGCCCATCATATAATGGAATAAGGCTTGACACGTTTTTATCGGGACCGATAATCTTTCTGTAAAGCCAATCGACAGCTGGTCAAAGGAAATCCACCATCGTATTCTTGTGGGAACGACCTTAGAAACTCTTCATCACACACACACACACGAACTTTCACCTGAACTGGAAATGAGCTAAACAAGTGTAAATCAAGATAATCTTCGAAACCCACCTTTTCTTTGTAAATCAATTAGGCGATCATTTTTAGCTAAAATGACATTTCGTAATGGCGGCAATGTTTTACTTATGAAAGTCTGTAACCTTCTACTTGCTGTAAACATGCATGTCATCGACAAGGCACAGGGTCAGGATAGAACGGGCCCCAGAATCGCCGTTTATGAGGCACATTGGTTCTGGAAAGTACTTATGTTCGTCAAGCTGAGGTGATACACTTTGTCAGCCAAATGTTATACAGCTTACAAGATCAGGCAGCGGAATTGGATGGCATTGCCTTGATCACTTATTTGTTTTTTGCATTCAACAAATCCGTGCATTGACAGTATATGTTCTTGATTTAGGATTTTGTTTGGCATAACCGTCATACCCGCAAGTGGAAAGACTGAATGACTAAACGTTGATGTTAGTGAGTAAATAATTTCTCAGTAAATGAAGAGTAAGGCTGGATTGTCACCGAGGGCAAAATAGGCGTTTCAGGGTTGGTAAATTCGGTACTTCTTCAAAAACTGCTTTAATGCTTGATGATGTCGGTGAGCATCGACCTAACTTGTCTTCTAAGAGGCCTCCAGAAGAATTGAGATTTTGTCTAAGCTCGACTCCGGCAAGATTTCCGGACAGCATGCTTTTTTGATTCCTCTAAGTTACCTGTAAGAGTTAAGGAAATTCTACGATAATTTCGGCCTAAGAGGAAATATATATTGCATATATTTCGTTTTTGGTAAATTTTCGAGACTATCAGTAAATCAGATCTATGAGTTATGTTCACCCTATTCCGTTAAAGGTGATGAATGATTGGTAGCTGAATTTTCCCACAATGAAAAATTCTGCTACCAATCATTCATCACCTTTAACGGAATAGGGTGAACATAACTGATATGTACATATCCTTCCGACTCCCAAAGAAGCGAGTCCCGGTTAGCGAACCTGATTGAATAATCACTGATCAACTCAATCAGTTGATTGAATTGTGCTATTTGTGATACACAAACCATACTTTGAGTAAAAAGCATAACTTTATCATTTTATTTTATTGTGTCTTTCCATCATATGGGTTCACATTTTATATACTATATAGATATATACTGCTCCTTCGGCTTTTTATGGAATCGACTTAAATAAAAACAATTACTGAGCATTTGGGGAAAACACATATTATAAGGCGTTTTCAGACAGCCTACATGTTGATAATCTATTCAAACAAAAACCTGTGCAAGCCTCCGAGAATAGAATATGGTCAATTTTGTGATGAATACCACCCTGCTACTTGGCTGAATATCAGTACTATTTTAAGTATAAATGAAATACGATATGAATATAACGTTTAGATCCAACAATCGAGTTTATATTATTGGCTTACAGCTCTCAAGCATTTCTCATTATCCAAAATGCCTACTCCTGCCTCGTCACATAAAGTAGTTTACCGATTTATTTCACTGCCAAAGGAGGCAAAATGAATCTGTCCCCCCAGACACAATTTGGTGTAGATATTCACATAAACAGATAACATGCGGAAAAGGTAGATTCATTCTGAATACATAAATATTCACTTAAATATTTGGTATAAATGCTAATTTATGGATAGTTGACAGGCGTGTCACTCCTTTCTCACCTCACCCCCCCATCGGCGACTTTAGCAACCTATTTTCTTTGATACAAATGCTGTATCTACCCTATTTCATTAAGCGTGATGAAGGACTGGTAGTGTTAGGGTGGATACAGCTTTTATATCCGATATACTATTCGTCTCGAAGGCCTACTTATGAAACTAAAGGTAATTTCTCTAACTCGTCTCGACAGTTGGCCATGGGGTCAGGATGACTTCAAAGAACGCAACTTTCACTACTCACTCTGCCATAGTAGTTATGATTATTTCCAGCCTCGGGCCGTTGACTCGCCGGCTCCGTAATCGGTATCCTCAATTACATCCCCTGACCAGCTCCACCCCTTTTTCAACCTTTCCCTTTTTACTGCTGAATTATTCCAAAGATGAGACTTTGTAAATGGGTTTAGTGAGGCGTAATCAGATTTTCCATTTTATCCCAATGTCTGCTTTAAGAGGTTGATAACATTTATGCGGTAGACTCAGCAATCAGAACTCCAAATTTTTGATTCAGAAGATTGCTAATATGCTTCTTCTGCAATGGACTAACTCAATTCTGTGCCTCCACTTCTCTCGAGTCGTGTACTTTGGGCCAACTTAGTGAATTACCTCTTTTGTCTCCGCTACATCTCTCGATCTTTTGTGCATTGTGACACTTTTATAAGATGGGTTCTAGAATCCTTATTCATGTTTTCTGGTCCTCCAAACCCACAAACGTTGCTGCTGTCCCTTTGGTTTGGATAGGCTCGAAGCAAACGGCTTCGCTCGATTTCTGATTATGCCTCGAGCTCCTCTTGCACTTAGTCCCTTTTCGGATGTTGTTCAAGATAAACCCTGGATTCATATTTCGCTTTGATGTCTCCAGGATTCCTGTGATTTCGCTTAACTCCCTATTCAGTCAGCAGGAAGATAGGCATATCCACTTTGGTTCATTTTCCTACTCCTTTTTTTTAAATCTTTCCAATCTCTTCATCTGTTTTGTACGACCGGTATATGTATTTCTATGATTTCTTCATGGTATCCTTGGTCATGAGACATACAAGACGATTTTTTACCTTTTTCCCAAAATATGGTATACTTTGCATCATATTCCTCATTATTTCGATTTAAAGTCTGTAGGAATGACAAGAAAATTAAGTGAGAATTATTCCTGCCAATTACTACTTTCTGAATGATTTTCTCTTTATGGCTTCGTTGGAGCGAATTTTTTACGGCTCACAAGAATGGTACCTACTCCTAATTCTCCATTTTAATTGTGAAGTAGAGCAATTCATCAAGCTAGCTAATATAAGTTAAGAATTCCTAAAACGTTAAGTCACCCTAGATCGTAAAAGTATGCCTTAGCATGTCATTGCATTTCATTTGACCTTTCTTCTCAAAAGGTATTTTTGTCCTGTCTGGAATGAATACACGTTTGAGCTCCCCAGAGTCTTGCAGCCATTCAAGTGGACTCTTTCGTTTTGACAATTTACTATTCCAAAGCAATACTCATTCGTTTTTGGGAAGACAAATTCACTACTTTCTTTCCAACCAACCTTTCATGCAAAATGAAAAATCGAAGGATATCAAATCACTACTGGACTCTTTACAAATCAACTTTCATTATATATAGTCTATTTGCTTAATTTAGTATATTGATGCGCTTTTTCGTAAAGTATGGTTTCTTGCTGTGTCGATGGTTTTTAGAACACAGGCTTATCGTGGTCGCAGAACGGAGAGCCGAGGACTTCTTGGCGCATTCCAATAAACTTCGCCCTAAGGCTCTTGCTTTGTTTCCGGTAAGACCAATTCACAAATTTTTTGCAGCCAAAATGTTCTTAAAAAGGAAGAGCCTAGTTACACTTATCACCATCATTTATTCATTACACTATGCGACCTCCAATTTCAGGATCCCAACTTCTCGTTCCGAGATCTCCGACATAGCATCGAACAGCTTGTGTCATCTTGAACAATTTAATCTTATGGAAGAATAATTTCGAAATATTGTGATATGAATTTCCACTTCGAAGTAAAGGTTGGGTGGGAGGAATTCATGAAATGGTCTTATGGGAAACCGAAGGAGAGTTGATGCGTAGTGAAGATTCACCGTCATTCAACAACGATAAACCTGTTTTAGGCTTTCGTCTGTACCATTCAGAGCCCAACGTACCAAATACAATAATCTAAGAAAATAAGGATGGTCTGGTGCAATCACACCAACTTTTTAAAAATAACTTCGACATCCTTATAAGGCATCTTATGATTTATTTGACGATTTCATTTCTGACACTTGTTGATTGGGGAGGTTGATGTAGAGATAGCATCTATTTTCCCTCATCTATAAGACATGGAATTCTCGTTCAAATCATGGGATTCCTTATTATGATAGCCAAGTTAAGCATTGGAAGTAATTATAATTGCACCGTTTCAGCCTTAATTTCTTTTATCGGGGAGTTTATTTTTGGTATGGTTTCTCGCTCTTACGATGTCTGTCACATGACAGACGAAAGCTTGGTACAGGATGATTGTGGTCTCTATATCACTGCCCAACAATCCTTACATGATCATCATCCTTCGATTTGTGATGAGACTATTTCACTAACTCACTCTAACCAATTTTTCCTTCAAAATGAAAGGTTGTTTTATAATAACATATTGAGGAAGTATGTGAAATCCAGTTTTGCTTCATAGTTTCCTAATATATTCACTTTTCTTCTCATTTTTACTGGTTGCCTCCTAGATTAAAGAGATGATAAAAACGACTTTCTTATGCGCAATAAGCCGGCATAAATTATGCCAATTCCGCGATGAAGCAGGGCTGCCATAAGTGAAGTATCATGGGTTGACGACAAGTTTTATTAGACAGGTAAGGATAATTGTAATGTCATCAAAGCTTCTTAGGTGTCGGTGGTTGAAACTATGTATAATTTGAAGAATTCTAATGCGGACATTGTGTGATTGAGTGGTTTATCCAAAGTAAATGGGTAATAACAGCCTATTTAAAGTGGCTTTGGTGTGGCCAGCTTCAACTTGATACATTTAGAAGTCCTCTTTTTGATGCTGACAATTAGACGAGAATATTCTAAATGAAACTAAAGCAAGTGTTCATTAGGATGAACCTATTGGAAAGAGGATTTTCGCAGGGTTTTCTATCGAGTGCTACTTTAGAGTAAAGCCGATTTTCGGACATTCTCGTGAATTTTTCTGCGCTTGATAAGTTCTGCTTTCTGGAGTGCACTTCTCAGTCTTGTCACTTGGACTCAACTTACCTCGGCTTAGATGAAAAGTGACAAATAGACCCTTCTGAAATTGGTTTACAGTTGAGATTTAATCAATCTGCTTAAAAAGAGGTACATCTGGTCGGTTTAAAGACTTGTTTCACACCACTTCCAACAACCGCTATTTCTGAAAATCTAAACTTACGCCACCACCTCGCCTCAAGTTGCCTGCAAGAGTCATCGCGTTATGGGCGGGAGGGCATAGAAAGCAATAAAACAAAGTGAGCAGGCTTCTAGGCTGTCAGTAGATCGTGAACAGGATCTTGAGTCGGTCAGGTTATCGTAAGCTGATGTAGGGACGGATAGCAAAACTGGCCAAAATCTAAGAATTGCCTTTACTCAAATGATAGAATTGAGGATAGTGAAGTTGGTCATGGCGCCAACTTAATTTACACACATACACACAAAAGCCCAGCAATTAAAGCAGATTGTGCACAGCATTGCGAAATCAGAATGATGCCTCCAAGGAGCATCATCAAAACTTGATGAATGAGGACATGTACCACTTTAGTCTAATTACTTAAAGAAATCGCTACTGGTTTCACACCTTTGCGTACATACTCACATGCACACACATGCTTTCAGGTTGGTACATGACATGAACTACCCAGATCATCATACACCTCATAAAGCCACAAGGGTTTAAAATATGTGTAAGTAGGTATCCAGACTACTTATTTTCAATATAAGTAGCTTTCGAATCCAGCCTCATTCGGTAATGATTGAGAGTCTCTTAACCGAAATAAGCAGTGAAAGCATGTTTTTCTAATCTAAAATTCCAAGGAAAACTGAGATTTCAGCGAGGCATGACTTGCCTTGAATGCCAAATCTGTCCTGTGCCTTACTGGCGCCTGTGGCTGTGCAGGTGTGTGGTAGTCTGTCCACCAAATAAAGAATCCCGTTGTAGGAGCTGATTGTGAGATCTAAATTGCACTTCAGTCCAGCCTGGATGGGCTTGCTTTTTGAGATACTGGGAAAAGTGAAATTAACTGACTTTGTTAGGCCAAATCATCTCATATAAAAGCCGTAAGAAAGCACACTTTTAGACTGAAGACAACTTATCTCATTTTTATAACATCAATTGCAAGTAGGTTTTCGAGACTACCAGTGAATCAGATAAATGAGATGTGTTCACTCCATTTTGTTTTAATATGATGAAGGACTATTTGTAAAATTTTTCCCACATTACCATGAGTTGTCCTTATGCTTCCACTGAGGTTCACATAGCCTTGCTTCCTAAAAGGCGTTCTTATCCAGGCAGGGGTGGACTGCAATTTCGACCTCGCCTAAACGTGTCTCTTAAGCACCCCCAACGGGACTCGAACCATGATAGAGGAAGTGGTGATAAGGCGAGCTCGAAACAGCAGTTTTCTCCTGCGAAGCAAAGCTATATGAACTCCAATGGAATCGTGTGGCAAACTCAAGTGATTTTGGGAAAATTCAACTACCTTATCCCCTTTACCCCAACTTTACCCCTTATTACCTTGGATGAAATAGGGCCAACATAGCTCTTAAACATGTATTTTGAGTAGTATCAACAAAGTAGTTGGTATATTAAAAAAATATCATTATACATTAAAAAGTAAATATTGTGTGGACTTTCGTTTCGCATGATGAAATGGTTCGGAAGTCGATTTCACCAGAAGACGACGGCCGATTCTTGTTGTATTGCAGCCGTTTGGCTTTTGTACGATGGCATATGACGAAAATTATCAGAACTTTGGACTCATTCTTACAAAAGTCTGAAGTTAAGACTAAGCCTTATCATACATGCTAGATGTGGTTATAATAAAAAACGAAATCATATTAAAGTTAGCTCGAGAGAATCATCAAGAACACCTATTTATTCGTTTATTAAAAATAAAATTAGTCGGCCTATAAAACCTAAATTAGGTTAAGGAATGATAGTAGATATAAAGAAAAACATGCTGTGGTCCTGTTATCATCACAGTCTGCTTTCGCTGTGTGGAATTGGTTTGACCTCGTTTTCACCACTTGTTCGAGTTGTCAGGGTAACCTAGTTGGAGGCACCTTGTCCGAAGTAATCTATTATAGTAGTCATGATATTTCTAGCGTTAGACCATAGAATTGGAACATTTTCAGACTCGATGCCACTCTTAGCACCAGGCTACAATTCATCAACAAAATATACCACACAAAAAAGTTAGTCAAGGAATTGACTCCAATTGTCTATTTTTATCAGTTGCTGAGAATGGCGAGAGTCACTGACGATGTTGAATACGATGTCGGTGAAAAACACTGGAATATACCAAGCCCACAGGCCGAGCCTCGGAAGTATGATAGCGGATGTAGCAGAAAACTTCGGAAATGGTGGATCCAACTAGGTCGCCATGACAACACGTTCAAGTGGCGAAAAGGATATCAAGCCACTTCAGTAATGACCAGACAGGAAGGGATCTCTTCATGTCCGTCGAATGCGAACCACTGTTTAGTCAGGATGAGAATGTATATACGAAGAAAGTTGATTTGGGTGACCTGTTCGCTTGTACTGGCTGAGCTCACTTCGGTTTTGAGTAAAAGATGTAACAGTGGACCCCACCAGGAGGCGTTGGCGGATTCTTCTTGGCCAGCTTTACTGGAACATTCTTGCTGACGCTGTTGCCAAGGCGATCTCCTTCCATTTCGGTGAAATGTACCAAACCTACGTGCATCATGTGACAGACAATATCAAGACAGGAAATCATTAGTGCTGTATTCGTATGGCCTAAATTATGATTATGTCTGTTTTACTTGAAACTCTTAGGCTCTTGTGCATATACGCACACAGAAGCACGCACAGACAGACATACGCACATGCCTCCAGGTTAGCATGTATGTTAAACCAGCCAAATCGCTGTTTTCCTCATCAAATTGCATATATTCAAGATATATGTACATAATTTGGAGATGAGCAAGTGAGTTTTCTTGGCATGCCAACTGTAAGAATGGTATCCCGCTTTGATGATATCCGTCGTTTGACGAGCCCAAACCTCGAAGACTGAGCCAATCAGAATGTTCTAGTAAAGTTCACTGACAGTCAAGATAAATCCGCTGTCGTCTCCTGGTGGCATCCACTTACAAATGTCTTCCTTATTAAGTCATTAAGCCCTGATGACCAGAGCCTGAATTTAGCCTATTTTGATCACTCTGATTTGCGACTGGTATTGTGT